AAAGTTTCGCTAAAGAAACAATTTTCAGTTCATTTCAATATGTTGTGCATGATAATTTCACCAGACGTAAAATATTTCTAGTTTAGAATACGCGATACTGCAGTTATCGTTTCACAAACAAGAGACAGCGTTTTCTCCTGGACTTCCTCTGCGGGGGGTGAATTTTCCGTTCCCCAGGGATGCGCTTAAGTGCACGTATCTCCGCGCGCTGCAGGCCGGTCGTGCCGGTCGCGGGCCGGCCGGCTCCTTCTATCCGCAATCATGGCGTCGGTGGTGATTGCGGACGGCGTGGTGAAAGCTCATCGGTCCGCGTAAAAGCGCTATCCTTGACTGTGAATTCTCGTCGTGTCTCGCTATGATAACCCAGCACGTACTGGAGGGGAACATCCACCTACGCGTGCGGCGATGTCGTGGTGGCACTCTCAAGACAGCAGAAACGCCCGTGCCGTCGTGTTTGTTTACTTCGACTACAGTGGTACTTTCTAAGCATTTTTGTCCTCGAACATCGCCCGGATTTCTTATTTGGCGCATTTCATGCGTGTGGTATTCAAGGTATTACTGGCGCGTACTGTATAAAGGATGCGAATTTTCACGCGTTTTCATCACCGGAGAAAAGTGACTAGTGTTAGCAAGCCTGAACGCTCGCAACGTCTATCTGATCACGAAATCATATTTCTACGTTGCTATATCACTGCTAAGATTACATTGTCTTTTATAATCGTAGAAAAGGCGTGTGGCGACATTTGCACTATTGCAATGTCGTGTATTAGAGTCGTGATCGTCCAAGACGGCGGACTGCATCTTTTTATTTTATTTTTTTCATCCACTGTACCCTGCGAGCCTATCAAGAAAAAAAAATAAAGCTTTAGGCTATAGGAAACTGTCTGTCTAAATTCTGTTACGGCATTGAGTAGCAGTGCGTCCCCTTTTTAGAGGGGCCGCTGACACAGCTGACGGCGGCGTATAGAAGCTGTCGCCGTGCTGACGAGCCGCTGCGCTTGTTGTAGTGGTTGCAGGTGTGTGTACGCGCGGCGCAGAGCGGTCGTTCCGGTCGTTCCGGTTGCAACGGACGCAGTCGTAGGTACGCGCTCGTTGCACATGTCTGAACCAGCCTTCCCCCCGTCTTTCCGAGGTGAAAGTCAGCGTGGCGACATCGTTTGACATCACGTACCAGAGGTAACGCTGCGATGTCAAACGTTGGTTTGGTTACGACTTGCCCCAACCGCAAATCGAAGACCGCCCGAAAAGGTCTGCGTTTCGTCGTCCTCGGAACCCGAACACGACTCTGAAGTACTGCTATCATCGTCCACATCGCACGTCGGAGTGGTGTCATAAGAAATCATCCCCAGGTCGGCTGTCCGCCGAAGAATTTCAACCTCTAACGGCGTCAGGTCCTCGAGCGTAGAGAACGCCGCCCTGATCAAAGCTCGAAATTCTCGAATGACAAAGAGGTTCGGCCGATGCGGCTACCTCCGGATTACTGCGCGGGGTGGTTATCATTTGAGCCCGTTCTCGTTTCGACCTTCTCACTTGGCCCTTCTCAAAACAACTATTCTCAAAAAGATCTTCTCTTTTAGACCTGTCGCATTTGGCCCATTCCCGTTTCGTTCTTTCGCATTCCAACCCTCCTCGTTCGGGCCCGTTCTCGTTTCGCCCTTTCCACGTGGCCCTTTTCAAAAGAGCGATTCTCAAAAATATCTCGCTTTGTCCCGTCGCACTTGACTCTTTCTATACCAAATTGTTTTTTTAGGTTAATATTAGTACATTGATATAATTTGTGTGTGCGTGTGCGTGTGTGCGTGTGCGTGCGTGTGTGTGTGTGTGTGTCACACTACAGGAATACTCTCTCTGCTAAGGATTTTAGCAGTGCGTTGAGGTCGTCGTGAAAAGCTACTAGCTGACAATAAAACAGACGAACTATTTATCGCAGCCAGATCATTGTTGAGGTCTCTCGACTTGGGACAATGCCACCACTTCTGCAATGTAGTGGTTCTCAAAAGGGGGTCTGCGAAGACATCCCAGGGGTCCGCGAAGTCCTGCCTCATCAGTCAGGCACGGCAATATTAGTTGTCTTTCTTCACATTGAGAAGAAACGTTCCAATTTTCGGGAGAGTACTTTCGTGTGCATGTCAATGAGAGAAGTCTACTTTACACTAGCAATTAGCTAAATTAATTTATTAAATCATTGTCATGATAGCCTATACATTTCTATTCCCCTCACCCCGAACGAGGTCCTCCATCATCTCCGCCTTTCTACAAGCCGCCCGCAACACATCAATGGTTCAGAGCCACTGCTATTATGTATGCTATTTGAGTTCAAAGAAAGTTTTCAAATTAAATGCCCATCGCTTTTTTTCTCCTTTGCTTAGAGGAAGGGAAGCAGACGTCAATGTACGATTCTCCAGTGCGTACCTCTACACATAACATATATCTGATGGTATGTTGGGGGTCCAAGCAACGTAAGGCTCATCAACAAAGCCGCGAAGACATAACGACGTAAGAAGGATGCCGAACTAGCGCCATTCGGTCGTAGCGCGAACGGGCGAAATGAGAACGGGTCCAGTTGCGAAAAACACGATTCGGATCTTATGAGAAGGTTCAAACGAGAAGGACAAAATGAAAATGGGTCGAAATGTGCAAGGTTCAAATGCGAATGGGACGTTTTGAGATACACCCTACTGCGCGACGGAACGTCCTCCAACGCCATTGGCCCGAGATCCATTTGATAAGCGTGCGAGGACCAATGAGAGTGGTTTTGTTTTCGGATGGATCCGAGGTTTGGCGGCCTTCAATTACATTTTTATTAAAGAAATAATTACCGTATGACTATACCTTTTGGCTTTTAGGGATACTTAGGGCGTCTAAATTCAGCTGCCATCATCAAAACACGAACTCAAAACCCACTTGAGTGCCGGAGGATTCATGGTTCTCAGACCAGTGCCTGGCACATGGACGTCCGCAGAACTTTTTCAAGGGGGCAGCACATTTATTCATCCCCCCAGGGAATGTTTGCGATGTCGGCTATTTTCAGCACGTTTCCACGTTACTCTCGACCTGCTTTCATGGCCACACACTGGATTTTGGGTCTACAAACCACTAATCTCAATGATAATTGCTGGATCGCACTTCCCGCTCTTGCGAGTGAAGCCCCCGGACGGCCATCTTGCAAGTCTAAAAATTTCGTTTGCAGAGTTCTGCGGAGGCTGGCGGCAGTGCTGAAGACACTTTCTACTCGTTTTAGCAGACCTTTCAACAAAGGTCTGCTAAACCTGTCCTATTGTTATCTAGCGCCCATTAGAAGACGCTAAAACACGGTATCATCAAATCGTTGTTTTCTTCATCCTTCATGAAGTCTTGCTGTCATATTTCAGAAGATAGCTTCCAAATCCAGCACATGAGGCTTGTCTAGGGCAGGGTTTCCGGTCGACCGTATACGATTAGCAATGGAAAGGCTGATTCGCGGGCTTGATCGTCAGTCACCAGCCACAAAAAAGAAAGCCCGATTCGCCGTCCTTCCTTACGCACACTTCAGCCCCCCGGATAAAATTCATTGCCTCAAAGTTTGACACCAATGTTGTCTTCTCGTGCCGCATGCGTCTTAAGCAACTCTGTCAACAAGCGAACAACAACCGGATCCCGATTGGCTGTACTGTTAAACACGAAAAAGAGATCATTCCATGCAAAGAGAAGAAAGTTTACTCCATTCCCTTGAGCTGCTGCCATCAATACATAAGTCAGACCCGGCAGATGCACCAATCACAGACTCCGGGAGCATCACAACGAAGCCATGCAAAGAGAAGAAAGTTTACTCCATTCCCTTGAGCTGCGGCCATAAATACATAGGTCAGACCGGCAGATGCACCAATCACAGACTACGCGAACATCACAACGAAGTTTCTAAGGCATCTCCAGATTCCTATCATCTTATAGTCATACAGGCCCGTTCGTGTTCGCTTTGTCATTGCCTCTTTGACGAAACAAATATCCTGGGGGGCATGACAGCAGATTCGGCATGACCACAACAAACAACAACCTGTCAATCCCTTCCCTCATGCTGGCGAAAACTGAGGTTGAATTTCCCCCCTAAAATACGAAATAAACCTCCCTCTCTCACTTGCTCTTCGCGTTTTTTTTATCTCTCCTTTCCCCCCTTTCCGTCCTGGGTTTAGTCGGCTGCTCGCTGTGTTAAGTTTGAATCGTCTGTAGCTAGTTGAAAGATTGGTAGTCTTCTTCCAGTTTTAATTGCTTACTCTTTCTTCATCCATCACTTGAACCAACACGATCTTCTCCCAAGAATATAAACGAGTCAGCTTTTTTCTTAAAGTTCTATGGCGAAAACATTTTTTGGCTCTTTGTTTTTGTATTTTGGTTTTCTTTTCACAACTTCGAGGACGCGCGGTGGATGAAATTTGATTTCAAAGTCGTTTCATGGTTCCTTTAACGACGTCAAGATTTTCCCCATCAAAAACACGTCTCGTGTCTGTATGAAACCACAACATCTATAATGTTAAATACATAAGCACGCACTTATCATCTCAAGACACTGGCTTCACACGAGCTGTGCTACTCACGGGAAAGAGTAAGAAGAGAGGATGTTGGGGAGAAAAGCGACGGCGCCCACGCCTGCAACAAGCGTCCATGCCCACAATATGATGCGCTCGTTGCAAACTCAAACGTTCCAACTTCTCGGAACTATTTTACGCCGGTTTCTTTCGAGGTTGGGGATATGCACTGCGAGTCCCAGCAGGCCCCACACATCCTGGAATTCAATAGCTCTTTATTGCCGGCAATACAATCAACAAAAATACAATATGAGTATACATAAATGCACAGTAGTGGCAAAAATGCTGTTCGCGTCGTCTGTCTGCTGTAAAAAAGGAGAGGAGGGGGGGGGGGGGGGAGCACCGGAGGGACAACACACGAAAACAGCCAAGCGGCAGCGAGGACCGTTCCGCCGCAGTAGCCCGAGGATGCCGCCACTCTGGAATGGGCGGGTCGAGCTACCCCGTGACGACTTGTTGGGCAATCAGGTTGGCACACTCCAGAGCCCCTTTGCCCAGGATGAAGGTTTCATGGAGTCCCTCCACCACGTGGATGCGAACTTTTCCCTCGCAGCACTGCGAGAAAAACGAAGGACGTTCAGCCAACGCCAAGGAACAATCGGCCTCTGGAAAAAATGTGTCGACAACCCTGGATTAGGAGGGGGTTTCTTCGGATAACTTCAGCGCAGATGGCCCAGACTCGTTTCCTCGCAGTATTCCAATATATTACTGCTTAGAATTCAGCCGCATTCACTATACTTCATTCACCCTTCAGCTCACAGTGCGGTGGAGGCTGCATGCTGGTTGGACCAGTTGTAAGCTTTTCTTTCTCCACGTGATCACCCCGCCCATACTCACACAAAAAGAGTGGAGCCGGGCGACGAAAGGGGAGTGGAAAGGGAAATTGCACCACACCTGCGCCGAGATGGGTGTAAAGCAAAGAAATTAGTACGTTATTATGGTCGTTCCTAATATTTTAAAAGTTAAAGAAAAGTGGGACATTCGCTGCACTTGATCACCCGTATTCACCAGACGCGGGTAGGGCCTGTCTGACCACTGACTAGTGACGTCATCGACTAAAATGATCACGTGGCGAGCGATAGTCACCGCTAAGTGAGCGCTTGGTATTCTCCGGTCGTGTTTAGGGTTTATTCTCCCCGCGCGACTAAGAAGCCGACTAACAAATCTTAGTGATGGGGCAGGGCTAGTTTAGCCGGTGTTTAGCGGTTGACTAGCGGCTCAGCGCCATGGCCGACTCGTACCACCGCTGACCGCCACCGCTAGCGAAGCAGTTACTGTCTCGAAACGCTGGGGGACACACCAAGAAAGAATTGGAGGAGCAAACATTGTATAAATAGCCATCTTAAACGGTCAGAGATGCCGCCAAAGAGATCTCAGCAAGGCGCTGGACGACGAGAAAATACGCGTTTACGGGCGCTTCCATAATTATTTATGTCGCTGGCAATGCGGCTGCTGTGATTCTCCATTGCGTTTTCTTCCGCACTTTTTTCTTTGTAAAACTCTCTCTCGGACAATTATTCTCTTATTGTAACTTTCTTTTTCCTGACAAACATTTAAATATTAGTTTTTATAGAATAAAATGCCCATTTACGCAGCGGTGTTTAAGTACGCGTAAACGTGACCTATATTTTTATGTCACTTCCGCTAGTTAGTTCTGACTAGATAGTCACCCGCTCGCTTCGAGCTCGTGAATACCGCAGAACTAGTCGATCCTTAGTCGCTGAATTTTTCTCTTAGTTCGCGACTACATAGACGCGATACTAACTTTAAAACAGCGCTAGTTTGTCACGACTGGTGAATAGGGTTGCATAGGTTTAGGCGATGAAGGAACACCTACAAGGAGATGAGGAATGCCGCGATGTCGCTCTTTGACAGTGCGAACCAACCGGCGAGATCCATTGATAGTGAGCATCAACCGCTCTGGCCGGTTGATCGCCGACATCGTCTAAATTTGCGGACAATGTCGGCGATGTCGAGAACTAAAACTTCCGAGAAAACTTTGCAGAATACTAAGATTGCGGCTAGTGTGGTTAGACAGAACCAGGGTCGTGTACTCCTGACCAGATCACTCGATTATCACATCCGCCACATGCCTTTGTGCCGTGACTGCAGAGTAGAGTGTCAATTGTGCCACTCTGCGTGTACCTTCATCTCACCAGAGTGCGTGGATCGGGCTTCACCCCTTTGCATCGGAGTGCTATGGGCAGCGGCTGACCTGGGAAAGCGCCTGGGTTAGCGCGATGGGCACGCAACATATGCTCAGGATTATTACAGGTACACCTTATTCGTCCTAATTGTAAATTAATGTGTAATAAAAAATGAAAATAAAAACTGAGCCCGGGGTAGGTTCTTAGGGGACAATTTGACAGAAATTTTATTTACATCCTAAATAAAGGTTTTATTTAACCTGCAAGCTAATTATCAACCAGTGAAGTGTTAAACTAGAATTCACTTTTCATCCTTCTTTAGTACCAATTATAAGTGAAACTTACTCCCAAAGCCTTATTTCTAAAAAGAGGACTGTAATACTTTTGCACCGTACCTCTTCTTATCACAAAAGGTAATATGTAATATGCACTAGTCTCAAAGAGGAACCCTCGATCACTATCATAAATTAATTAATTTAGAGATGCAATCACTTTTTATCTTGAAAGGGACGCCTTAACAGATGTTGGCATCTTCTCCAAAAGCGTCAGTAGCTGCTACAGAACAAGCTACAAAACGTCAAATGCCGCTTCCATCACTGGGATTGGCTCTGCGAGCACGTAGGTTTGGCCCCATTGTCAGCTTAGGGGTGTACGGTGTATAGGCACAGCTCTGGCAAGTTATACCATTCCGTTCCGGTGGTTAGCACTCTATCGTTGAGGTAGAACCCAGCATGCCAGGTTTTTTACTCTATTAATTTATACCCGAGGAACACACCTTGCTCGGATGTTGCGGACGGACGAAAGCAGGCACGGAAACAGCAAACGCGCGAGGCACAGCCAACCCAGACTCTGCGTACCAATCGTTAGTCCGCGACTGTTTCGCCGACATTCTCAACTTTCCTACGATTATAACCAGCGATATTAAGTTGAATGTGGCATACATGTAGGACCCTGGAACAATGGTAGTGCAAGCTGTAAACACAGCAGTCCCCCCATTACCCAATCACACACAGACAGCATGTACAACCCCCTTACTTTATGCATCAGGTAGCTGAACAGGCTTTGCGCCCCGGTCTTTGTCCGGATGTGGAGCTAACGTAAATTTGTTTTTAAGATCCTCTCCAAATTGGTGAGCACTGGTTCGGTCCCGAATGACGTTATTTCGGACCATCCACTTCAAGGCTGCTTCATACACTCGCGACTGGTTCCGAACGACTGCATTACAACCTCACGCGATATCTCGTGGCCAGAAAATACGCTGGCACGCTGGCGCCATCTATGAGGCAACCCTGGAACTGCATTTTACGACATTGAAGCTTTTGCAGTATTTGCGGGATGAAACGTCCGTACTACGAGAATGGTTGTTTATACAATTTTCAAAAACTTTTCAAACAAATAGCGAAAGAATGATGCGCGCAGAAAACGGTAAATATACGAAAATCGCGAGTGATCCACGGCTATTGGCAGCAGTGGTCTCCTGATCGTAAGGAATCGCAAAGAGTGGCAACGCACTGAGTTGCAAGCAATCGCAAGTGTATGAAGGACCCCTGACGCTTCGGTCCAACTGCTAATACAAAAGACAATCTGCAGCCGACGACGTCTTCTTCCTTGTAGGACGGCGCACTCACATTGGTCATGCAAAACCTCGGACAGGTTCGAACGTGCGCATGACACGATACACTTGAGGCGTTTCCGTAGGTAATTCTGTCATCGCGTCTTCAGTGAACAAAACCGGTTCCTTCTCTCCATTTCCATACTCTCGCGCACTTTTTTCTCCTATAACCTAGGAGCGGGTGTCTAGACCCCCCCAGAAAAGAGGAGGTGTCTCGCCCCCTCAAATGAAAAGTGGGAATCGAGTTGCCCCCTTTCTGGTCGCTCGTCAGCCTTTAAGGCGCGACCGCGCGCAGATTCCAAAATCGGGCGGGAAACGTCACCGAACGCCACGCACCTCGGAGAGGCCGTAGTCGGGGGGAAGCTGCATGGCCACCTTGCGGGGCCTGGAGGGCTTGACCAGGGTGACGTCCCCCCGGAACTTTGCCGTGGGGGCGTATGCGCTGCCGGCCTTGAGGAAATCATAGAAGGCGCTCGTGGCTAGGGCGATGTCCTCCCGGCTGGGGCGAACGTCGGGGATGCCCGCCAGCAGCAGGTCCGTGGCCGCCTCTTGCTTCGCCTCCCACGTCGGGTACTGCACCATCTGCCGCTTCACCTGCGGCCGCACGCACGGGACCAGAGTGTAAAATAGACAGGTGGGGAAACGAGAGCCAAATGAGCGACCGGATTGTGTCCCCCTCGGGTTTCTCTCTTTCTGTGGCGCCACCTATGTGGAGCACTACGAACTCTTACTCCGGGTGGGCGACCGGTGGCGACCGTCTAAACTGACAGAGATGGTTTCTTGTGGATTTTCAATAGAGGACTGTCGTGCTCTCGGTTTATTTCGCGTACTTTTCCATAGAGTTCCATGCAATTCCGATTCCAATTTTTTTTCCTCTCGCCGCAGCGCCATCTGTCGCAATTCGGGGGTACCCGCAAGCAGACGAGTACACAATCCGGTCACGACGCTGCGGTAGGCTTCTATGGGCAGTTTCCCCACCTGTCTATCTTACACCCTGCACCGGACGTAGCACAAAACACTCCTTTCTACGAAACCTTTCGCTACGGTGGCTGGAATGCGCCTCCGATCAGTACGGCGCGCTCGTTGCATCCAACAAAGCGACCTCTCGATTTCCACCGGATGACGTTCTAAAAGTCTCCCGCTGTCGCCGGCCACGATCCTGGCAGTGTCACGGCAGCGGAGGTGGAGGAGACAGGCGTTCGTTCCGCCTCAGGTCCCTCTCCGGCTTGAAAGTCCACGGAAGCGTCGGCAGTCAGGAGCTGTGACGATACGACGACGGCGACGCTCACAGTCTCGCGCCTTATGGCGGGACTCCTTCGTCCAACTGCCAGCATCGCGACATCCGGCAGCGCGACACTCCGGCTTTTGTGACGTCACTTGCTGCCGCTTGGAGGCCACTTTTGATGCCCTGTGATGGGAACTACAGTGTGCCAGAATACGCAGGTTTTTAAGAGCAGCATTTATATGGTGCTTCACCATAAATAGCGTCAAATTACGGCCTTTAGGTGGCGCTTTGAAGGAGGGAGGAACAGAATAGGATAGAAAGAATAGGATATGGGTTAGGTTGAGGTACAATGCCTCGACTGCATTTCCGACTTTCGTATTCGTCATCGTTTCTATCCAAGCATCGAGAGTGGCACGAAAGTGGCAATAAATTGCGTCAGGAGCACGTGTCTAGAGATCCTAGTGGTTTGTCGTAAACATATTGCTGAACACAGCGAGCGAATGGAAGTGTTGCCATGGACGCGTCTATCCATCTGGCGTCTGCTTCATTTTCCATCGACTCTCTGTCTGCAGAGCGGCCTGCAGCATGACGGGCGTCTGCCGCACCCACTTCCGCTGCCGTGCCGCAGCCAGGATTGCGGCAGGCAACAGCAGGTCACTTCTATGACACCGTCGCGCGGAAATATAGGACCACTTTCGAAGACTTCCCAAACACACCAGTCGGAGAATGTTAGTCATTCTAGTTCAGGTAAGGGTTCGGTTAGATTAGGTTAGGTTAGGGTAGTGTGGGCCCAGCTTTGCTCTTAATAGCTTGCAAAGGGCGCCCACCTGAAGGAAATCGATGTCTATGTACTGCGCAAGGAAGGCGCACAGGAAGAAAGCCTCCTCCTCATGAACGTCGGTGTAGCGGCTACGGTGGTGCACCTTGTGCACCTGGATGTACTGGGGCGCCCCGTCGAGGAGCACCAGGCTGCCCACAGGGGCTCCTGCCCGCTGCAGCTGCACCGCCATCTCAAAGGCTACTGTGGCCCCAAACGAGTAGCCCACAATGTGGTAGGGCCCTTGGCGCTGCACCTCCACTAGCCGCTGCACAAAGGTGAAGGGCCACGTGAGACAACGGAAGCGGGACTACGGCAGACTCATTATTTCAAACTTCAGAAAGCCAAGAATTTTGTTTCAATTATCGAAAGTTTCAATTATCAGACATTCATCTAGATTAGATGCGAGATCAAATTATGACTTGCCACATGAACGGCTACATGTACAAAGCAGATATTTAATGATTTCCTCTGCGTAGGTCTACAAATCATAAGCAGGTGTGCACGCATTAAACATTCGTGAAATGTGCGACATAACTATATTTATCCCACAAAGAGGGTTATCGTGGACGGTTTAGACAGCACAAGACAACTCAAATCAAAATTAGGTTTGTTCACTGGATGAAGAAGTTGTCTAATGTGACCTTTTAGGAAGGTGACACATGAGCGATGAAAATGGACACCACAGGGCAGTTTTCATAGCGACTTGCGCGGACGCTGTGATGTGAACCTATGCCATGTCGCCACGTCACAGTGACCGCGCAAGTTGCTGTGGACATTTTCGCGTGGTGCCCGTTTTTAGAGCTCAGGTGTGCCCTGCTGGAGCCCCGTTGAGTGCGCTACTCACTGAGCAACGGTGCACCGCGGAGAAGCAACACGTGCGGAAGCAAACTCCGCGAGTGTTGCCACTCTGCAGGGCCACGGGAAGAAAAAGTATTAATTACACGAAAACTGCGTTCGAATAAAGAAGTTTTGGAATTAAGCACAAGTATGAAATATCCGAGTTTCAACTATCACGATGCTTACGGACGGCCCTCTGGCGGCAAAGCCGGAATGGGTCGTACAGCTAACCTATTTTCTGCACAAATGGAACCCGAGAATACTTGAATAAAACGCCGCTGTCCAAGAGGCTGATGATGCGTTTGCATTAGTACCCGCATGACAGAGAAAAGTAGTCTAGGAAATCGCGTACCGCCGCCGATTCGCAATTTCCCACGTGGTCCGTCAACAACCCAAGTCCAGCCTGGTTCTTTCACGAGAGAGAGATTCCACTCCCCTCTTATTGGTAAATAAGACACAACGCTCAAAACACTCAATCTAAACTACAAATAAACGCGACGTCACACAAATATTCACAAACGCAAGCAAAGCTAAGGCTAAACACAAAAAAGGTCCCCAGGCCTCGTGTCCCGCGATTACCCCAGATCCCGTCGCACGCACTTGCCTGTCCCAGAGCCCGCCGGAGTCCTAAGAGACTTTCGCCCCCGGTCCCCTCGTCTATATCCAACACCTCCTAGAAGTGAAGGCCGCAGTGCTCTTCTCGTGACGTCGCAAAGGAAGGAAATCGGGGGCGAGCGTCGAAGCGAAGGCAACGCGCGTGGATCGACCGCCGTAACGCGCTTTTAGTCACATACGCGTGTATTATTAGGTAAAATTAAAGCGGCACGTAGCAACGGGTCTCGAAAACATTTTATTACACGAACAAAATATTACACCGCTAAAGAATTGGTATGAAATGGCACGAAGTAGGCGTATAAGAGAACACATTGAGTTACGCCATTATTGCTGTAGGAATGCATATTTTATACGTAAATACTCCTAGAAAAAGGCGAGACACGCAGTGAATGATCACAGCAAAACAGATCACAGTTAAAACTCAGGTAGATGTAGCTAACGCGGACACGGCAAGACAAGTGTCACTTACGATCATCTAAGCGATGTTATCACGTGCAGTCACTGAACTCTTGCATCACACCCTAGCCACATGGCAAAAGCAATGTAATTTCTATCGAATGACATTATGGGGTCGACAAATCAGCTTGCCACGCTCTTATAATCACTCAAAACCGCGAGCTGTCAAGTCCCTTATAATTTAATGAAAATATATTAACTTTTCCGTGTGGCACGGATACTAAACTTACTATTTACAGTCCACTAATTTACTTCTCCCTATGGGCTCGAGCTACCTTACAACAAAATATAACTTGTTTTGTACAGAATTTACAATTACATTAATACAGTTACGATTCTAGTATAAACGCGGTAAAGGCAATAAAATAACATTAGTATAAATAAACACATAGACACAAACAACGCACTTCGTATAATCACAGAAACTTGGTATTCACCTTTCACTGAACACTAGAATATTATCACGCATATTTACACCATGTCTACGCAACCGCACACGTTTAAAGACGATTTTCGGCCAAGTGTACACCCTATTAAGTTGGCTTGTTCCTTCGTTATAGCGTCAACTTATCTTTATCTGCCTCGTGCTGTCACCCTTTCCACCACCCGTCAAGCTCGGCTCGTGCCTGGCTAAGGTTGGTCAACTTCAGAATCACCCAAGAAGTGACATCTGGTGGACAAGACGTCTCCGTGGTCTAAAGGACTGTGGTTCATCGCAGACGCGAGATTTGCGGCCAAGTGTACACCTTACTAAGTTGGCTTGTTCCTTCGTTATAGCGTCAGCTCATCTTTATCTGCCTCGTGACGTAATCCTTTCCGCTACCCGTCAAGCTCGGCTCGTGCCTGGCTCCGGTTGGTCGACTTCAGAATCACCCAAGAAGTGACATCTGGTGGACAAGACGTCTCAGTGCTCAAAAGGACTGTGGTCTATCTAAGACCCGGAATTTGCGGCCAAGTGTACACCCTACTAAGTTGGCTTGCTCCTTCGCTTTAGCGTCAGCTCATCTTTATCTGCCCGTGCCGTCTCCCTTTCCACCACCCGTCAAGTTCGGCTCGTGCCTGGCTAAGGTTGGTCAACTTCAGAATCACCTAAGGAGTGACATCTGGTGGACAAGACGTCTCAGTGCTCAAAAGGACTGTGGTCCATCACAGACGCGGGATTTGCGGCCAAGTGTACACCCCACTAAGTTGGCTTGTTCCTTTGTTATAGCGTCAGCTCATCTTTATCTGCCTCGTGACGTAATCCTTTCCGCTACCCGTCAAGCTCGGCTCGTGCCTGGCTCCGGTTGGTCGACTTCAGAATCACCCAAGAAGTGACATCTGGTGGACAAGACGTCTCAGTGCTCAAAAGGACTGTGGTCTATCTAAGACCCGGAATTTGCGGCCAAGTGTACACCCTACTAAGTTGGCTTGCTCCTTCGCTTTAGCGTCAGCTCATCTTTATCTGCCCGTGCCGTCTCCCTTTCCACCACCCGTCAAGTTCGGCTCGTGCCTGGCTAAGGTTGGTCAACTTCAGAATCACCTAAGGAGTGACATCTGGTGGACAAGACGTCTCAGTGCTCAAAAGGACTGTGGTCCATCACAGACGCGGGATTTGCGGCCAAGTGTACACCCCACTAAGTTGGCTTGTTCCTTTGTTATAGCGTCAGTTCATCTTTATCTGCCTTGTGCCGTCAACCTTTCCACCTCCCGTCAAGCTCGGCTCGTGCCTAGTTAAGGTTGGTCAACTTCAGAATCACCCAAGAAGTGACATCTGGTGGACAAGACGTTTCAGTGCTCAAATGGACTGTGGTCCATCACAGACGCGGGATTTGCGGCCAAGTGTACACCCCACTAAGTTGGCTTGTTCCTTCGTTATAGCGTCAGTTCATCTTTATCTGCCTTGTGCCGTCACCCTTTCCACCTCCCGTCAAGCTCGGCTCGTGCCTGGCTCCGGTTGGTCGACTTCAGAATCACCCAAGAAGTGACATCTGGTGGGCAAGCCGTCTCAGTGCTCAAAAGGACTGTGGTCCATCACAGACGCGGGATTCGCGGCCAAGTGTACACCCTACTAAGTTGGCTTGTTCCTTCGTTATAGCGTCAGCTCATCTTTATCTGCCTCGTGCCGTCACCCTTTCCACCTCCCCTCAAGCTCGGCTCGTGCCTGGCTAAGGTTGGTCGACTTCAGAATCACCCAAGAAGTGACATCTGGTGGACAAGACGTCTCAGTGCTCAAAAGGACTGTGGTCCATCACAGACACGGGATTTGCGGCCAAGTGTACACCCTACTAAGTTGGCTTGTTCCTTTCGTTATAGCGTCAGCTCATCTTTATCTGCCTGGTGCCGTCACCCTTTCCACCTCCCGTCAAGCTCGGCTCGTGCCTGGCTCCGGTTGGTCGACTTCAGAATCACCCAAGAAGTGACATCTGGTGGGCAAGACGTCTCAGTGCTCAAAAGGACTGTGGTCCATCACAGACGCGGGATTCGCGGCCAAGTGTACACCCTACTAAGTTGGCTTGTTCCTTCGTTATAGCGTCAGCTCATCTTTATCTGCCTCGTGCCGTCACCCTTTCCACCTCCCGTCAAGCTCGGCTCGTGCCTGGCTCCGGTTGGTCGACTTCAGAATCACCCAAGAAGTGACATCTGCTGGACAAGACGTCTCAGTGCCCAAAAGGACTGTGGTTCATCACAGACGCAGGATTTGCGGCCAACTACTAAGCCGGCCCTACTAAGTTGTCTTGTTCCTTCGTTATAGCGTCAGTTCATCTTTATCTGCCACGTGCCGTAATCCTTTCCGCTACCCGTCAAGCTCGGCTCATGCCTGGCTCCGGATGGTCGACTTCAGAATCACCCAAGAAGTGACATCTGGTGGACAAGACGTCTCAGTGCTCAAAAGGACTGTGGTCCATCACTGACGCGGGATTTGCGGCCAAGTGTACACCCTACTAAGTTGGCTTGTTCCTTCGTTATAGCGTCAGCTCATCTTTATCTGCCTCGTGCCGTCACCCTTTCCACCTCCCGTCAAGCTCGGCTCGCGCCTGGCTAAGGTTGGTCGACTTCAGAATCACCCAAGAAGTGACATCTGGTGGCCAAGACGTCATAGTGCTCAATAGGACTGTGGTCCATCACAGACGCGGGATTTGCGGCCAAGTGTACACCCTACTAAGTTGGCTTGTTCCTTCGTTATAGCGTCAGCTCATCTTTATCTGCCTCGTGCCGTCACCCTTTCCACCTCCCGTCAAGCTCGGCTCGTGCCTGGCTCCGGTTGGTCGACTTCACAATCACCCAAGAAGTGACATCTGGTGGACAAGACTTCTCAGTGCCCAAAAGGACTGTGGTTCATCACAGACGCAGGATTTGCGGCCAAGTGTACACCCT